GCCTTATAAACTGATAGCAACTAGAAAAATAAATGAAAACCTCAAAATACTGAACAGCTAATTCGTTCTACTTTCAGAAATCTCAGTAGTGCCCTATATGAACTGTACTATATCAGATAAATAATCTATTTTTCTGATCAAGAAAAATCACTTGAAGATACCCAAATGAAACATTTAGTTACTTATATATCGATCATATATTCATTCATTTTAACCTTGTTAACTCAGAAACAATTTAAATTTGTCTAGGTTACAATATTTCATTATCTATTAGCATTGATCAATAGATTTAATTTATAAAGTTTATTCTTACATCATGAAAACTAAATTTTATTCGCTTCATTGATTATAAATGTTTACCATAATACCAATAAGTTTTCAGTTTTAATCAATGAATCAATTCAATAAAAAAAATATGTTAATCATTAAAATTTAACTTTATTAGATAACATACTTTGTCTTAATGGTCTTCGAAATAAATTTTTCTTTAAAAGAAAAAAAAGAGAAGATAAATCAATAAAAAGTAACTTTTACCATGGAATTTAACATCCATATTATGTCCAGAATTTAATTTTTAATTAATTTTCCAGCCCTTGTTAAAATTATGTTTTTCTTTTTGAAAAAGAAACAAACATTTTCTTCATGATTGGAAGAAAGAAAATCAACAAAAAACACTTGACTCAATAGCTATTTTAGACTTAATAAATATATAAAATTGTCTAATTTACACATGGTAATATCAAGGAATACAAATGAAAGAATAAATAGAAGAATAAAAGTTAACAACTATCTCTAAGTATAAAATAATGATATTGGCACGTTTATTTATTCGTATATATTTCAATTTATAAAAGGTGATATAGAGAATATATATATGTACAATGTTCTTTTTTTCAGCCTAAAGACAACTCTAATTTCTGGCAGTTATTGTTGATCGTACAATAAGCATTATCTATATAGATTACAAATGATTTAGAGAAAATACATCTTCAATCATATCACATCACTTTAAAGTACTAATTTTAAGTAGTCTCTAGTAATTATGAAATGAGAATACTCAATCATATTTGTTTATTTATTTATTTGAAAACATAGATAATGGTACAAGGAGGCACCAGATACATATGTGCCACACAAATCTCATTCGATATGTGTGAGGGCTGTGATACTGCCCGGATGCCCAGGCCGAAGAAGGTGGTTTTCTTAGAGGGCCACACCTGGAGCCTTCGACTTAAAGCTCTGATCCACGAGGCAGTGGAGCAACGTCAGGAGATGCAGTCTCATGGTAGCCGCTGACCAACGACTGGTTCATACACTATTTGTTCTCTCAGGATACTAGAGCCCATGTGCACCATTGGTTTCGAATCAAGGTTTCCCAACTCCCCTAGGTGGACCGTCCATATCCGCCAACCCGGTTAGGGCGTCAGACATTCGCTTTTCATCCTCTCATTTTCGTAAACAACACCCCCCCACGAGAAAGCAGTGAGTAGGACTTCCATGGCAGAAGCTATATACGCGTGGCCATGTGAGAGCATTTGGAGAGGGAGAGCGAACTCTCCCCACTCTCGGCCGTACCAGGGTATTTGGGGGCAACATATTTGTTTATATTACACGTTTTGAAAAGGAAATTAAGAAATAAATTTCTTTTCGTTAATTTGAAAAGATTATTAACTTAATTTGTAACAAATAGTCATTAAGATTAGTCATTTGGCTTTCTAGTTCTTACCAGTTGAATAATACATATGTCAGTTAATGATCATTAATGCCCTAATCAATCCATTAATCTAATAGTTTATCGGAATAATATGAGTGAAGTTGATATATTTTCTAATCACTCGCTTCTAAATATAATCAACAAAGATAAATACATCATTATTCCAATTATTATATGCGATTATTAGTTTTCTCACAGATTTAAAAATGTTTATTAAGTCTACAAGTGTTCCTTTTTATTTTAGTTAAATTTTAACATCATAAATACTTACGATGTATATTGCCAATCATTGACTTCATTCGAAATATTTTGCTTTTGATTACTGTCAAAGAAACCAACTAATTATATACATTTTATTCAATAAAGTATATTAGTATTATGTATTCTAAAGATTATTATAATAATTCAATTAATTAATAACTATTAATCATAATGTAGACAATGGATGAAGTTCATAATATAAATAAATAAAAACATGAAAGAATTAAAACAAAATGAATATCAGTTTAAAGCTTAGAATAAAAATAAATATTCCTGTCGATTATAAGATATTAATCAATGTTATCTTGTCTAGACTGTATTATTATTTATTTAATTATAATATAGTCACTAAACTAATCACCAATAATTTTACTATTACTGGTACCCTCAATTTATCTTTTCTTATGAATGTAGAAATAAGAGAAATATTGAATTATTAACAAAATGTAGAGGGAAACGTTTTTTAACACATTCTGTAATACAAAATATTTTTCACTTGGACTAGATTTTTATATTAATATAGAACTATTTACATCATAGAAATTATTTTTTTATGGTTGAGTGTAGACATTTTTCTATGATACTTACGTGCACATGTTACACTTTAAGGCAGAACATAGGCCACTCACCAACATTCTCCATCCAACTCTGACCTCAGAAACGCTTACCAGTTGTTGTTCATCATTTTGATATCTGCTTCCGATTCCCAACACGATATGTTCCTTAGTCTTCCTCTTTTCCGTTGCCTTTTAGGATTTCAAGTTATGGTTTGTTTCCCGATGCAGTTTGATGATTTCCATAATGTATGTTCTATCCACTTCCAGAGTCTTTCCCTAATATCCTCTTCACTTGCAAGCTGGTTTGTTGTCTTTTACAGTAGACTGTTGCTGATGATGTCTTGCCTAAGATAAATCAGTATTAACTTTTTAATATAATCAATCTGGTTCTTTGTAAATAATACGTTGAAAAAACTTCCCAGATATGATAGAATCTAATATATTTAATCAGTTTTTATACACAAGTTGTTAAAGATTAATATAATGGAATGGTTTATTTTGAAAGTATGAATTCAATCACCAATAACTCGTATGATTTTTTTTAATACTCGGCTAAGAAATACTGAAAATGGTAAGCTTCAAATAGAAATGTGTTTGCAAATCAATTCACTGAACAAACAGAATATACTTTATAAGGCACTCAGTAAGTGGAACGATTTAAACTAGAATTAAATTTTATTGACTCATTCAGAAAAAAAAACAGTACCTCAAATTCAATAGTCTATGCATACTTTGAATATGAAGTCAATCAGTTTGATTTCCAAAAGACAATCTTTCAATTTTCAGGCAATTTACACCTAAAACTTAAATAAATCCATTACTCTGCAAAAATTAATAAGCTAATTGTGTATATTAACATATTACACGCACCTAAAGTATAAACATTGTAACTGTAAAAAAAGAAACCCTCTCCTATTTCTTAAAATGAATGAAATATCAAAAGAAAAAAAAATTATGCTGATGACACTTTTATTGATCGTAGAGGAACTCTCCATTCAACAAACAGTTGATATTCAACTTTATTTACATAAATATTTTAAATATTTAATTTCTAAAACATTTTGCACTTAAATATTATGTTACAATTATTTATTTGATTATGAAACATTTTATTGTACTTTTGTAGGTTCCTTCAACAAAATGAAGAAATATTTATCTATTAAGTATTTTTTTTAAAAAAATCTCAATTTCAATTTTATTTACCAAAAAAAAGAAAAAAGAGAATATGCACTTCATTATGAGATGAGAAAGAAGAAAATGAAATAAATAAATAATTAGAAAAATAAACTTGCAAGTACATGATGTAATAAAAATTGATATACATCGATCTAATCATTATAAACAACACGTTGAATAAATCAGAATAATATTTAAATCATTCACAAAAAAAATACTTCTAATCACTAAGCAATAGAAATGATGTGATCTTGGAAACAAAGTATAAAGATAATTCAAACATTGTATATGTATAATACAAAAAAGAATATACAACTTTATCAACTGTCTGAACAATATAGCCAAACAAAGAAGAAAACATATTTTGTAAGATTGTAAAAATTTTCAACTGTTTATCGATTAGGTGAAATTAGGCGATAAACAAAATATTTATTTTATATATATATATATATATATATATATATATATATATATATATATATATGTAAGACAGTTCTATATTTAGATCGCAATCCCAGTAAGTAGATGTTATAAAAAACCAACGTTATAGATTTTTAGATTGACTTGATGTTGTACCTGGACCGCAGAGTTGATGTTTACGTTGGGTCTGGAACCCATTATTGTTTGCTTCAAACGCTATCGCGATATCCACTTAGCTACTGAGTCCTGATAGCCACCTGCTTGTGCAATGCGGTGAAGTTCAAATTCACTTGGTGTTTTACTTGTATCTTCCCATTGTTGTTTAGGACTGCAGTTGATTAGTCCCATATATATCAACCCTGGGATGTTGGTACATCCAACTGACGAGTCCCAAATGGGCCGAAAGATGCGTCCTGAATTCCACTGATAGGCACTATCCATCTTTGCTTAAAAAGTTTGTGAGTTATAGATTTTTCTTACGTTAAACACATTTTACAAGTGTAAATTAAGATAGATTATTATTTATTGATTAAATAAACCCAAGAAAATTTATTGACAATTAAATAAAAGTTAAGATTTGATTACATTTTCACAGATTTCCAGTCTTTAGTTTTTCTAATAAAAAAAATCCATTGGTCAAGCCAGTTTAGGAAAAATACATTCCAAAATATGTAATCAATATAACACCGATTAATATGCGATCTATAAAAATAAGCAAGCTAATTTTGGTTCAACGAATTATTTGTGATATTCTTGAAAATATTAAACATTTACAGTTGATTATTTCATACTGTATAACTTTAGTGAATGGTTTCTTTTTCATCACAATCAAAAGCATGATAGACAATGTTACAATAAACATGAGAAATGAATCAGATACAGATGTTCCAAAAAAGAAAATCTACAATAAGAACAACAGTAGTAGTAGTAGTAATAGTAGTAGTAGTAGTAGTAGTAGTAGTAGTAGTAGTAGTAGTAGTAGTAGTAGTAGTAGTAGTAGTAGTAGTAGTAGTAGTAGTAGTAGTAGTAGTAGTAGTAGTAGTAGTAGTAGTAGTAGTAGTAGTAGTAGTAGTAGTAGTAGTAGTAGTAGTAGTAGTAGTAGTAGTAGTAGTAGTAGTAGTAGTAGTAGTAGTAGTAGTAGTAGTAGTAGTAGTAGTAGTAGTAGTAGTAGTAGTAGTAGTAGTAGTAGTAGTAGTAGTAGTAGTAGTAGTAGTAGTAGTAGTAGTAGTAGTAGTAGTAGTAGTAGTAGTAGTAGTAGTAGTAGTAGTAGTAGTAGTAGTAGTAGTAGTAGTAGTAGTAGTAGTAGTAGTAGTAGTAGTAGTAGTAGTAGTAGTAGTAGTAGTAGTAGTAGTAGTAGTAGTAGTAGTAGTAGTAGTAGTAGTAAAAATAGGATATAAATGTATCATTAAATAGGCAGATAAACAGGTAGGTATTTAATAAAAACATTTAATATTTTGGTAGATAAATCAATTAATGGGAAGATTAGAAGTTAATTGACTTCACTTGTAAATAAGTAAAATATGTATAGATAATTAGTTGGATCATTAAGCAAGTAAATGGTTAGATAGTCATTGAAGTGAACACTATACCGCTTATATAAGGAAGCACAAACTTAACCAAGAAACTGAGTATATAAGTGAAGCATGAAATTAACTGAGTAGGATTTACCAGTTGTTTTATATTCTCTAGACCATATCGTTTGGTAGTGACAAGTTGTCCTCGAAATCGCCTATCTAAAAAACAACTACATGCGCATTAGTAATTGGATTTAGAATAAATCCTTCAAGATATGTTGCCAAGTTGTAACTGGTAAGTTTTAATCTCGTCATAATTGCTATTAGACCATGGTTATATAATATCTCCTTTGGACCACTCAATTTCTACCCCCAAGCTAATGTTATTGTACTCGCTCTCAGATATAAAGGACGTGATTATGACTTCATATCACTTCAAGAATGTGCACTGTTGAGAAGTCTTAAACCAGAACAAACCAGTCACTAAGTGTCTTTAATTTTTATTACTCAATAGTATTGTTTCGTTAGGCTATCACAGTGCAACATAAAAAGCCTTGCAATCATTTTATAACTTACAATTTGTAAGCATTTGATGATTTTTGCTCTTTGAAAACCAACAAGGAAAAATTAATGTTGGCTTGATCGATTGTTAGCTAGCAATTACCAAAGAAATGATTTGTATGGTTAGTCTGGAAACAGCCTATCCTGTAGCTCTTCTAAGGCTACTGCCGGTCTCAATTTCAGGTAAAGGAGGGGTGTTGGGGATGCGGTCAGCAACCCCATTCCGTTGAAAACAACTTTGCTAAAAATCGATGACCAGAATAAACAAATAAAACCACCTAAACGCTGCCGTCCTAGTTGAAGATAAAATTATGACGCCTCATAATGAAAGCCGAAATTCTTCGGAATTCACAAAACTGATGCCTCTTCTAACAGTCAGAATAACAATTAATGTAGGTACATGGAATGTCCGGGGAATTCGGGAAACCAGAAGGATCAATCAACTAGCTGCGGAAATGACGAGATGTAAATTGTCCGTGCTCGGAAACAGTGAAACCCATTTGACCCAAGCTCGATAGAAAAGGATAGACATAGAAAAGATGGTGCTGTACTCTGGCCACAAAGAAGAAAATGCTCCTCATACTGAGGGAGGCGCTGTGACGCTGTCCGAAGAAGCACGAAATGCGCTAACAGGGTGAGAATCTTATGGGTCCAGGACCATCAAAGCACTCTTCAAAATAAAGAAGGAAGGAATCACAATGAATATTATACAATGTTATGCACCCACCGACAATATCAATGACGGCAATAAAGATCAGTTTTATAAGATGCTGCAATCAATCATAACTTGGCGCCCAGGAAAAGAACTGACCATTTTGATGGGAGACCTAAACACCAAAGTTGGAATGGACAACACCTGATATGAAGATATCATGAGAGATTTGCAAATTAGTGTGCACTCAGCAAATCGACTATAGGTGGCAAAACATTCCCATACAAACGCATACACAGAGCTACATGGGTGTCACCGGATCACACCACAGTGAACCAGAAAGGTCATATTCGCATCAGTAAAAATTCACAAGGACAATGGAAGATGTGATAATCAGGAAAGGAGCTGACATGACTTCAGATAACCAACTGGTGGTGGCCAAGACGAGACTGAAACTAAAGAAGCACTGGATAACTGGTGGAACGGCATTACAAAAGTTCTCTGAAGCCTTCCTTCGAGATACTGACAAACTCAACGAATTCAATATAACTCTCAAAAACAGGTTCCAAGCCTTACCAGATCTAGTGGAAGAAGAGGAAATTATGATGGAGGACAATTGGAAATGGATCAAAGAAGTACTAGCTCCAACCTCTTAGGAGGTTGTATCATAAGGAATCAATCTCTTTGAAAATGTGTACAGGATTCAAGAAAGGAGGAACAGGAAAGCAGCAATTAACAACAGCTGAACGTAAACAGAGATAGTCAAGACACTGAAACGAACAAGCAAGTGAAGAGAAGCACTAGAACCGACAAGTGGAAATATGTGGAAAAGCTAGCAATGACAACGGTAAAAGCTGCAAGACCAGGAGATATGAAGTAGCTGCATGATACGACGAATAAACCATCAGTGGTAATATAGTAAGCCAATGCGACCAGTTAAGGTCGAAGAAGGTAAGACAATCACCGAGATTCAAGAACAGAGAAACAGATGGGTAGAACACTTTGAAGAGCTATTGAATAGACCAACCCCACTGAGCCCACTGGATATCGAAGCAGCACACACAGACTTTCCGGTCGATGTCACTCCACCAATGATCGAAGAAATCAGTATGATCATCAGACAAGTCAAGATTGGGAAAGTAGAATGACTAGACGACATAATAGCTGAAGTACTGAAGTTTGACAGAAGTAACTGCCAAGATGCTCCACATTATATTTGTGAAGATTTGAGAGGAAGGACAAGTGCCACTGACAGACCGGAAAGTAGGATACCTCATCAGAATGTCAAAGGAGGGAGATCTGAGCAGATATGAGAACCAAGGGGGCATCACACTACTATCAGTACTGCGAAATGTTTTCAACAGAGTGTTGATGGACCGGATGAAAGATTCCATGGACGTTCAGCTTCAAGATCAACAGATCGGATTCCATAAGGATTGGTCGTGCACAGACCAAATCGCGACACTAAGGGAACATGTATTAGTTGAAATATTATAAAAATGTTTAATCAAAAAGTAACATTATATGAAATGTGAATCACTTCATAAATATTTGGTCAATAAATGAGACAATTTTGAGATTTCATTGACTTTCAGACTGATTCACGCAACAACAAAAAAAGAAACAACCTCAAACTTAACCAATGAAAACCTCAATTTGAGTAAAACTGAACAAGAAGTTTCAAACAAAATATGATTCACAAGTAGTTATATTATTTATTTCCTTAAATGTAATTTACAGCACGCAAAACCCATATATTTTTATCATGTACTTTCCCAAAGCATTTCCCTTTCTTTAATCCAACTTTCATCTTGTATTTTTTTTACTGAGTAAAAGGTAACTTGTGCATATCAAAACTTCTTACTATTACTATTTAATCTAATGAATTTCTTATTTTTATATTATGCATAGAAAATAGAAATAATCATAATTAAGTTGTTATCGGAATATTCATTTTATTGGATAACAAACGAGAAATAATCATTTCTTGAATGCTCATTTTACATATTATTGCTGTATAGTTATAACTTTTGGGTGTATAAAGTAATTTGACTGTAAAATAGTTGAGTAATTCAGTAATATGAAAACTTTAACGAACCATTACTCTGGTTGGCTAACAAAAAAGGGCTTAGATCTGCTAACATTTCAATGTTGAAAAATAATTTCGATTCTGGTCAAGGTTATTCACCGAAATTTTCTTTTAAATTCATTTGCATCGTCAAAATAATTGACTCAAAAGAAACAGGAATTGAAAATTTTACCAGCACTAAAACATCGACAATTCGCCAATTCAAGCCTGAACTCCATGTACTAATATACCATATCTAAAATCTTGTTCTTTCACTATAATAAGGTTCTTAATTATTACATATACAACCTTATCATTTGAAATTCTCAAACAATCCATAACCTAATCCAATCTTGTCTCAAAAGACAATTATAGAAGTTAAATAATTGTAAATAGGATTGCAAAACCTTAATATATGACATCGCTGAAAATAAAATATTCTTCTATCTCATTAAATTACCCTACAGCAAACGAACAAAACGAAGAGAATGCGATTCATGACATACTGCAGATCATTTTATACAGCTTTTTAAAAATGAATATATGATCACACTAATAAAAGTGTATATCTCTTATAATTCATACATATATTTAACTTAGTCACTTAATAAGACAGTCCAAACTATAAATTCCTATCTTTCTATTTGTAATCTATATATATAGTAGTAAATATGATAATTATTCATGAACAACTTTTTCCATTATATCAAAAGAAATTAAATAAAGAAGGAACGAATTGCATTCAAAAGAGATTCGTACAACCACTTTCTCTGCCCTGGCCATCAGTTTAAGAAATTAAATAGTTCGATTGTTTGTTTATTGTTATTTTGATCATTAACAAAATATGTTTTATAAAAATGTTCCATAAAAGTAAATTTCTGCTAGTATTACTAATAATAGTTCATAAGAATTATAAATGTCTGCTGAACAACAGAGATAGTTCCCAGGGGAGAGAAATCAATATTATTTTATCGACAAATATAAATCAAGAAATGTCAAACAGATATTTTTCTTACTTTATTTTTTGGATAACAGTTACAAGTACCATAGTGAACAAAGAAATGAAGTGAGGAAGACCAATTTAGAATCATTACCTTGACCACAGAGTGGTTTGGTAAAATATGAAAACCATACATTAAATATATCATTTGCACATCATCCATTAGTTCCCGTTTTATTTATTTATTTATTTCAACACATAGGTAATGGTATAAGGAGGCATCGGATACATATGCGCCACACAAATCTCATTTGATTTGTGTGAGGGCTGTGATACTGCTCGGGTGCCTAGACCAAAAAAGGTGGTTTTCTTAGAGGGCCACACCTGGAGCCTTCAACCTAAAGGTCTGATCCACAAGGCAGTGGAGCAACGTCAGGAGATGCAGTCTCATGGTAGCCGCTGACCAACGATTGGTTCATACACTATTTGTTCTCTCAGGATACTGGAGCCCATGTGCATCATTGGTTTGGAATCCGGTTAAAGCGCCGGACATTCGCTTTTCGTCCTCTTATTTTCGTAAACAACACCCCCGCCACGAGAAGGCAGTGAGTAGGACTTCCCTGACAGAGGTTGTATACGCGTGGCCATGTGAGAGCATTTGGAGAGGGAGG